AAAATACTGTGTTGCCCAGCCATAATTTAGGACCCCTAATTTGTTTCTATTTTAGTTGCTCATGAGTAGTACTTTTCTTTGCTGTTCATGGTGAAAGGATTTTGCACACAGCAGGTTTACTCCCCGTCGTGTTTAATCAGAGGACTGACACACACCCGCTCTTGTGTTCCATCTGACCAGAGTTCCTCATGCTTGTTTTTTACGCAACCATTAGCACATGGACAGTCTATGGAGATGACGAGAGGAAACCTGAAGAGAGTGTATGGCTCGAGGTTGATGAAGTAAACTCAGCTAATGTTGGTCCTGACTAATAAATCAACAGCTTAATGCTCCATATCAAAAATGAATTAATTCTTCCTTTCTTCCTTCATATTAATTTAGTGCCATCCCAAGTCTTCAGGGGAGAGTTCTTGTAGCTCAAAGTGAGAAAACTCTGACACATTTCCAAAGGCTGTGGCTTTGGACAATTTTTTTAAAAAGATTAGTTTGGCAGACAATTCTCCCCTTTGGCAAGGGTGATATTTTAGGATCTCAATAGATCCTTTTAAAATGTAATAGAAGTAAGTTTTTTTCACATCTTTTTTGATATCCAGGTATTCTGTTAATCCAGTACTAAGATCCTTATAGCCCAATATTGGTATTAATATCCACTTTAAAATACAAAAGAAAATAAGTAGAAGAAATTAGCTCATAAAATCTAATCATAAGAGGTTTACAATCAGTTGACAGAGACTAAACTTTTACTAAATTATATTTATATAGGGCTAAAATATTTATTGTTTGAAATTTCATTACGCAGCTGAACTTCTTTGTTTTTGTTTGTTTGATTTTTTTTTCCCCCCCGAAAAGGTCTCACAGGCTGGGGATTTACCTCAGCAGCATAAACGCCTGCTACCAAGTGTGAGATTGTGAGTTCAATACCTGGTACCAAAAAAAAAAAAAAAAGTAAAGAAAGAAAGGGTCTCATTATGTAGTTCAAGCTGTCATTGAAGTCATTATGTAATCCAGGCTGGCCTCTAATGCCCAGAGATCCTTCTGGCTTAGCCTTCCATGTACTGGGGTTGGAAGCATGCACCACCATTACTGGCTTGAATCTTCATATAGAAAGAATATATATAATAAAAATACATAAAATATAAATATCTTGTGTAGATATCTTGTACAATATATAAAATATAAATATCTTATATATAAAATATAAATATCTGGTATAAATATCTTCATATATCATATATAAGAAATGTATATAACAAAATGGCTTACATTTTTGGACCAGGAATCAACTCACAACCTTACACTTGCCAGGCAGGTGCTATGCCTCTGAGCTATATCCTTAGTTCCTATGTAGTTTACTTTCTTCGGAGGTCAAATGATTTAATAGGCCATAGGTATTTTATTTGAAGGAATCTACAACATATGGCGTAGAGCTGAGTTAAACAGAAAGGATACAATATAGCTCTGATGGCTATTATAATTCCATGAATTTAAAGCCTTATCCATTGATCATACTTCATAAAATGAATACTTTTACTGCTTTCTTCCAATTGTTATGAAACAATAGAATAAACTAACTGTTAAAAGGGAAGAAAATCTAAAAGATTTTCCCTGATTGCATCTATCCAATCCCTATGACTCCTTAAACAAAGTCATGTTTACCTCAAGGATTAGAGTGTGAGGAGAAGGAGGGGGTAAATGGAAGGATTATTTCCATGGAAAACTGGAGCATTCTCCAGCACCGTGAGTCAGAGGCAGGACAGGTCCGAGTTGCTGTCTCCCCAAACACTAGCCTTTTCATGTACAGTGTTTCCATTTTTATTGTGCTTTCCCTAACAATTCAAAATTTTAGGGGTGCATTCAACTTTTGAGACACCATCGTGTATTTTGAGAGAATCTCTAAGTTTAGTCTTTGTCAAGATCTAGGGAGACCCACAAGCCTCCAGTTCTGTTCTTAGAGAGAATGGATCAGAAATACCCTGCAGGTAGCCCATGATTTCAGAGTCCAGTGCTTTGGTGTTAGATGTGCAGTCTGACTAAGGCTGGTTCATTGACAGCTCAGCTCAAGAATTACAGATCTCTCAGGAGTGGTAAACCTGACTAGGAAAGAAGGCTTAGAATAATCCTGGCATAAACCAGGTGCTGAAAGGAATATAGCTGTTTGGGGAAGCTATATTATTTTAACATTACCAAGGTAACACTTAGTATACATTCAGAGGGAAAGCAGTTTTTAAATCTCTTAAAATTATGAGCAGGTGAAACATACCTACTCCACAAATTGGGCCTCAGTGTGTATAGGTTCAAAACTGACTAACAGTTGTATAAGCTGTTGGTCAAGGGTTACCACGCCCCTTAAAACACAAATTACTGAAGTTTACTTGTAGACATTTGCTTTTAAAGACTACATCCCCAAATGAATCAATTCTGTTAAAAAACTCAACAAAGGGAGGGAAAAAAATAAAGCTCTATCTTTCTTTTTGGATTGTTTTTTTACATTGCTAAAAGTGAAAATATCTTCCTTTTTATTTTCTATTTTATTATTGAAGCAAAATTTAAAAGTTCCCCAGAGATTACACAAAACTTTACATATTAGATACATGTGTGTTTTTACCTCCAATTCCTTTAGAGATTTGCACTTCCCAACTTTTATGTTCCTCTGAAATTTCTATAATTATAGAAATTATCAAAACATTTCTGTTTGTGTCTTGAGAGAATTCCCTCAAAAGCTAAATTTATTATGAAAGTATTGATAACTTTAGCATTTATAATTTATATTAATAAAGAGGCTCTTTAAGAAAATTTTTAGCTGAGAAGATCTCTATCGCATGGTTTTAAACTTCATCTAAGAAGTGGCATGTAAGTTGCGCTGGGAAAATCTCTACAATGTTTTTAAAATGTTTTCTTGAACTTAGCATTAAATGCTCTGTGCTAGATGTGTTTATGTTATCATCATTTCTGGGTAAAGGATGAAAGGGGCTTATAGTTAGGATCCTTGTTTCATTGTCTTTACTGGTATTATATAAAGTGTGTTTGTGACATTAACAAGCTTTAAGAGAAATGAAGAGTCTTTATTCATATAAGTATACAAAACTAGGCTAAGAAAATCTTAAACAAATTTTTAAGGTTAATATTCTGGGAGCCAGGAATACAGCTCAGTGGCACAGCGCCTGCCGGGCAAGTGTGAGGTCCTGAGTTTGATGCCCAGTACACTAAATTAAATAAATAAATAAATAAAATTAATATTCTGTGAATATTGAATAAGTTGTGATGAAAACTCTAAGCTTATTTTATAGCCCACTGAAGTGTTTTGTTACAACCATGGTGAAGGTATAAGCTACTTTGTTCATGCTAACACTTTCCTTTCCCTAGTGCCACTTCAACTCCAAAACCCGAGAGCTCTTTTGCCTGTAAATATGTAATGCTCTTCTCAGCTTTAGATAAAGATTAAACACAGGACCTTGCGCCTCTTGGGCAAGAGTTCTGCTGATCTCAAGCTTTAGATTTTAATAAGAATGGAATTAGAATTCTTCCTTTTCAAATTTATCTGTCTTCATTTTTTAAAAAAAGTCTTTGAGGTACGTGTTGCCAGTAAAACAACAATGCGACTTTTACTTCTGAATGACTTGGTGTTTAATAGTAAGTTCAAACTTATCAATACATTCTTCTGAGGTAGGTATCTAGGTTGATTTTAGTTTTGGATATTATCTATTAAATATTAATAATCTGTTAAAATAATATTAGTGAGCATAAAGGTTCTATGTATTAGTTTTTATTGATGTTTTATTTTTAAGAAATAAGAAGTGATAAAATTGTTGTGCCATTAGCTAAAAGTATGTCTAACTTTATGAAACACTAAAAAATTTTAATGCATTTTTCTTCATATTCTTTGTGTGTGTGTGTGTGTGTGTGTGTGTGTGTGTGTGTGCTATTCCCTAATCCCAACAATTGAAGTCTTCTTCTAAAAACATCAGTGTAGTAAATTTCTCATTTAAAAGTGAAGTTAACCAGAACTGATTTGTGTTTATGGTGTGAGTTATCTATAAGAACTTTTTTCACCAATGAAAGCACTTTGAAATGTGTTTAAAATTCTTTTATCTAATTAAAATGGAATGTAGTTACTAAATATAACATTTCTAAATAATGCTACAGACAATGATATCATTGCTAAATTTGTTTACAGATAAAACTAATACCATATCTTCACATTAGTTATAAAATTCAAGAATCAGTAGACCATAATGAATTAGTCTGTGATTTAAAACCTCTAACAATATGCAGTTGTTAAAATGACATCAACAAAAATGTCTGACCGATTTAACTATTCTCAAGCAGCTCAATTAAGTTTCTGAAGCCAAGCATGTAATTAGAAGATTTTACTCTCTCGTATATGTACTTTATACATTAAGTATGCTTGGAACAGTTTCTATTTTGTATATAAAACAGAATAATATTTAGTTGTTTTCCTTTATAAATGAAGTTCTTACTATGAATTTAGTAGGCAAATCTATCCTTTCCATTTTATAACATAAAATCATTAAATTACATCAAATCTACAAGATGATACTTTTTAAAAATATGGAGATATTTGTCATATTTTTATAGAAAGCTTAGCTTTGTAAAATATTTTTCTCCATATCACCTACAAAGTACTTCATGTACAAATTTTTAAGCCACTTGTATTTAAGTTTACACTTGCCAGAAGTGGATTTCTGGTGCCGCTCATCCCTCTAACCCAAATATCATACAGGTCTAGGGGTAGGAAACACTGCTAATGGAGGAAGGACCTTCAAATGTTGCCAGCACAACAAAGCTTATGCACTGTGGCTCTTAGGCATACTTTTGCTCATTTAGTAAAGGGCAAAGGTGATGTCATGGCTAATGCAATGTGCTTTTTGATTGGATGGAGGATACCCACCTATCTTATCAAACATCATCCTGATGTTTGTTTTGCTGAAGATCTGGGGAAAAGGTCAGCATTTGACTTATTAAACTGAGTAAAGCAGATCATCCTCTCAAATACAGTAGGCTTTTCCAATCCGTTGTTGGCTGGAACAGAACATAGCAGCTGACCCTGCCTGGAATAAAACGAATTCCTCCTCTCTGACAATCTCTTTGAACTAGGACCCTGAGGTTGGTTCTTCAGGGTCCAAATGAAGCATCAGCCCTTTTAGGGGCTCGGGCCAGTTGGCCTTTTGAGGGAAGCTCCATCGTCCGCTCGACCAGTTGTCAGACTTGAGTTGGACTTGACACTATCTGGCTTGCTGATTGCAGATCTGGAAACTTCTCACATCCCATAATTATGTGAGTCAAGTCAATTTCATAGAGAAGAAGAACTGTGAATGCATGTGTATTTATATGTGTGTGAATGCATATGGATAAGTGTATATTCTTACTGAATTTCTTTCTCTAGAGAACAATGACTAATCCAGGAGAGATGGAATATCATCAGGTGTTAAAGGACACGAGGAGAAAAGAAAAAACACTTATATACATAGAACAAAACAAAGACATCAATGAGTGTTTATTTTCTCTTGTTTTCGACACCTGAGTAAAAAAGATAAATAAATTACATGGCCATTTTACTTATTTTCTAATATCAAAAAGCAGAAAACCCATATAAATACGTTATTTAAATGGTCTGAGGACTGATAATATAAGGGAAAATATCCCTCCACAAATCTGTATGGACTGTTTCCTCTGTAGAATTACAATATTATTTGTACTTAGAATGTGATTTATACAATAAAACTGAAGAATATTCTAAAAGCCAAATCTGTACCAGGAGCAAAATCCAATAGGAATTCATGATGTTGATTTATTTTAATATGATATGCATGAATAAGAAATTGCCATTTCAATTAATAATACATTTGTATATTTCAACTAATTTGTTTCCACACAAGGAAGGTAGCCTGGAGGGATGGACTTCCCTAATAGAAACATTCAGAGCGTACACAGTCCAACAGTCTTAGGTCAGTGTTTCTATTGACTCCATTACATACTCTACAAATAGTGATTTTCATTTATGCTGTGTGAGGAAGAATTCTCTCATGGACACATTAGGCATTCTGGAAATTTATTGTAGTGTGTTAGTGGAAACAGAGATATTAAAATTAAGTGACAGGTGCTGGCCTCAATCTGGATACTACTTAATGTGAGAGAATGGATTTAAAGATGTACACATGTTAGGCAAAGTCACTGAACTTGTGTCTTAGTTTAGTATTTTTAAAATATCACTAACAAATATATATATATATATATATATATATATATACTGAACATAATGTATATAACTGATGAGAAAATGATATATACATATACTTCTGTGAAATTTAGAAAAGGATTGTAGTACCAACAAATCAAGCTTTACACTTCCACCTCTTGCAAATAAACTCTAAGCAAAATCATAAATTATTGAATCTGTGTCTTTGGCTTTTAGCCATATTTTCACATCTTTATGAATGTGTTTGTCTTTCAATTTTTAGAGTTTATGTAAGTGAATGCATGCTATATTTATTCTTTAACTTACCTTTGTTCAAGCATGTTATGTGTATGAGATACATCTATTTTGACTTTGTGATTTCAGTTGATGCTATTCCCTATTTGAAGATAAGAGATGCTTGTATTCCTTCTAAAGTAAACGAAAATTTGAATGATTTTCAGTTGGAGGCATTATATAAAAATATTATCAACACTGTAGTACATGTCTCTTGGTTTACTCATAGAAAAGATTATCTAAAAAAGAATGCCTGGGGTATTTACTTAGATGTTAGCATTAAACTTACACAGTAATGCCAATCCATTTTTAAAGTGAATGTACTTACATTCCAAATTGTAAAGGTTTTGTAAATTTGTCATATTGATCTTCAACATAAAAAAAGAAAACAAATTAACTTTTCCTAGATCCAACAGATACTGAATTCACAAAGAAAGCTGATGCCATGAGAATTTCCAACACAAGCAATACAGAGAATCAAGCTTACCAGGAGCAGAGGGCACTGCAACTAGGAACAGGTAGGATAATTAAACAAAAATCAAATACTGAAAAATGAGTTTAAACTGGCTGCAGTCCTTGGAGACGGAACCTTGGACAGAGACCCAAACTTTCACACATACTGTGAATTCTAACATCATCAGGAAACACAATTTAAATGAGTATAGTTCACATATTCACCAAGAAATGATTATGGAATAACAAAAATGCTTAATCAAAACCAAAAAAGATGAAATAAGGCAAACACGAATTTAAAAAACAAGCAATGAACAACAAGAAGAAATGACGTACGGGGTCTTTCGTTTCCTCATTCATTCATTGAGGAAATCCTCCTCTTCTAATTGGAGCCCTAACCTCACAGACGTGCGTTGTGATTGTGAATATATACTGCTTCACACTTACTTGTACTTTACATTTGTCCTTTTTGATTGCTTTTCTTAATTTTGCGTCCTTTTGCACTGATATTTTTATCTTTATTCATTTTCTACTATGTAAGTTATGCTTCTACCCATAACTGTTTAGTGTTTATTCTTGAAATTTCCTATATATACAATTTGAAATACATATCAGTGTATACTTTCCAAATAATAAAACTTTCTTAGAGTTTGGCTCTTTACCACAATCCGAACTTAAAATATTGCTTTATATTTTAAACATATGTAGTATTTTTACTTTGAATTTTAGATTTTATTATAATTACTTAGCATTAAATTCATTATGTTTTAATCTAAACACTCATTTACAAGCTTTATCGTACACCCTTCTATGTTAACATATAAGACAACCTACACTATCTAACTTTATATGATTATGGTTTATCCTGTTGTTTATTTTTAGACCAATTACTTTCTTTTTATTTTATGGGAGCTTTGTTGAAAATATAATTTAAGTTGAAAATTTTCCTTGTTCTAATTAGGGTGCACCTTAATGTCTCTTCATAGTCTTTATTTTATTCCATTTTCTAACTAATCTTAATATCTTGTCTGTTTTGGAGTCTTAATTTTCACATGTATTTTTACTAATTTTTACTTCTTTAGTATATTCACGCTATTTATAATTCACAAAGATCCTGGATTTAAGTATCGGCTGTTACCAGACTTTCCAGAGTTTCTTCAACATTCTCTCTTTGGCTATATTTTTTCCTGCAGTCGTTCTCCCCCTCTTCATATCCTCCAATTAAAATGGTAGGACTCTTATTCTTTGGTGTGTATATGTCAGTTGGTCTTCTATATTTCTCATCTTCTTTCCTGTCTTCTTGAAAAAACAAACTTTCCCAAAATACATTCTATTTATTTAATTCCTTATTCATCCAGTATAAGCTCCTGTCACACCTATTTTTTGTTTTGTTTTCATGTCTAGGTTTCATTTTCAGTGTGAATTATAACTTTTTATATCTTCTTGTTGCTTTAGTAACTTCTTTCACTTCTTTAACTATATCTATAATTTTTATAATCTCTTTTTAAAAATTACAATATGTAAAGTCATAAAAGGTATTTCTGTGCGCTTTTGCTTTTATATAGGTAAATTTCTTTCTTGTGTTTCTTTTTTTTAACCATAAACTTACATTTCTTACATGGTAATATGTATAAAATACTCTGCAGAGTGGTCTCAGGATCATCATAAATTAATTTCTCTTTTTTAGGTGCTTTATGTTACATACAGATCATGTATACTCGAGTTTTTAGATCACATATGGGTTGAATGAGAGGAGCCGGGTTTATTCTCCTTTGTACATAGGCTAAAGTCTTTTGCTATTTTATTTTACTGAGGACATTTATCCCCAGGGGCACACCACTTTACTCTGTGTGGTCATTTGGAGGACTGCTAGATGCCATGCCTGCTCCATATCCTTCCTCTGTCCTCAGTTTTCAGAATCAAAACTCATATTCATCAGGTTTTAAGGGCACAGTGTGTGAGATCAAACCCAGACTCAGTGCCCTGCGTGCCTCGTGGATTTCCCTTACACATTTGTTCTCACTGTTGCACACTGCCACTTTCTTGACATCCTGTTAATGCAATGTGTGCCCAGGTTTGTGTAAATTTTTTTGTAAAATCTTCATTGGTTTTAGCTGAGTTGTTCAATTTTTTAACCATATTCTTCCTATTTTTCCAGAACTTCTAATCCAAACACTTCTAAACACTAATTCTGCTAATAGTTTCTTTTTGTTTTCCATCAAAGTGAGCTTTCTGTGGCATTCCTAGCAAGATAAATTAATGTATCAAATGGGATAGTAAATAAAATAAACATATCATCACCTACAGAAAAACATTTCCAAAATTAAAATCAGTAGGCTCAGCCATGTACTTAGCTTTCTCCTATAAACCAGTGTATGAGGATCATTTGCACAGATAATACAGAGGTAATACTTATGAAATGGTTTCATTGAGTGAGAATTACACTGCAAAGACGGCTGTAATTTTGCAAGTAAAAGACTTTTAGAAACTAAAAATCTATGAGCCAAAGATATGTAAATAGGAACAACTTAGAGAAATGTGCATTTGTGAGGGAAGGTATTTTTCTCTTTTTGCTGTTTGATATCTCTGGACTTTTATGATTCAACTCTACGATCTGTTGCCTTATTCTGCCTGCATACATAAGTTTTGAGAACATGTTTTACAACATAAATGCATCTGTCATCATGAATATTTGTAAAAGGCAAAGGAAATCTTTGCAATGTGAGTCCTTCATCAGGAGTGTCAAAATGGAATCATATACCATAGTTCATTTTATTTTTAGAAGTTTTATAATAGCCAAACAGCTGCTTAATAAAACTTTTCTTGTTTCTTTTCAATTTATGATATAGAGGATGAAATGGATTTTGAGGTAAAAACTAAGCATCTGGTAGATAAAGTTTATGAGATTTAATTTGACCATAGTAGGGGCTTATTTTTCACTGGAACATTTTAAATCCCATGAAGGTTACCTTTGTGCTAGCTGTAGGCTTTCAAGCCTAGCTTAACATTACAATTTGCAAAATAAGACATAAGACAAAAATTATATGAGAAGTCTGGTTTACAAGTTCTGTTTGTTTTCTTATTTGTAATGTTTGTTTAGGGAAAAGGTCGACGCTGTTTTCATAAATCCATTATACATATTGCCTATTTTGATTCTTAAGTATAATTTTTAAAAATAAAATATCAACTATAAAGATATCAAAAATATTCAATTGTACCAGAATTAATATTTTGCAGAAAAATCATAACTTTTAAACCATTACATTGTATATTGAAATACAAAAATAAACCTACAGTCTAAAATATTAAAGTTAGAAAAATAAAGAAATCATTTGTTCAGGTATGGAAATAGAAATTAATCTAATACTGGACGGTTTATAACAGTTTCAGGTTTCAGCTTGACAAAATTCTAATGACAAGTATGGACTTTCATCCTTTACATCTGTAAATAATGACCAAAAGTGAGGAAGTTTGCAGCTGGTAAAGATCAGATTAGACCACAAATTCTTTTTCTTAAAGCATTTTCAGAAGAAAGAATTTCTATTACTCATACTGCTTAAGAGGCCAAACTTCCATCTCCACTACCCTGTGACACCTGGTTTTCACCACATCATGTTTTTTCTCAGTAGGATGATGAGCATTTTGAATTCACAAGGCTCATCCTGTGACTTTGAACTGTGGGTGGAACCCAGGCAATCACAGAGACGAGTGCCCTGAGAAATGACCTGACCTTCACGTTGTTTAACTTACTTGCTTTCCAAAAACAACCACTTCCTGAATTATTCTTTGTTCTGAGCACTATAAACATTATAGCAGTGGAGCAAGAAGGGCCATAGATAAAAATGTTTCCACCTTTGTCCCATTTCCAGGCGACATAAGATCATCATAATTTCGTTTTGAATTAAGAGAACTTTCTTTCAGCAGGAGCCAGCAGTAACATCTGCACACAACTAACCCTGAACCTCAACCAGCTCTTCATGTTTCAGAATGTGCATATGGCCCCTCCTTGTATTTTTTATTTCATAGACTCCTGAAGCCAAGCATTGAAGACTATTTTATAATCACTTTGATTTATCAATAAACAGTAGGTTTGCAAATCACTTAAGAACTCAGTCACAGATTCATAGCTCAATTAAGCAGATTCAATTAGTCTGGATAGAATGACCAAAGAACATGAGATCTCACATCACCAAGACACTAGGACTCCATGCAGCTTATTATTTTTGTAAAAAATGGTTATTTCTTTGTACTGATAGAATTTCTTTGAAACATTTGACAGGGAAATTATAAATCAGAGATACAGTTGAATTTTGGAACCCCAGTTTTTTTCTGAATTCTTTCATGAAATTATGACTATAGGATCCCAACAGCCACTAAATACTCTTTATGTTTGATGTCTTAAAGAATAAAAACTTGTTATGCTCATGTCTGACTGGTGAAAAAGTGAGAGAAATTCAAGCATCTGTAACTTGTTTGCTCTCATCATCCTAATTTCTGGCATATTTAAAAATCTTAGGAACTAATTAATCTCTAGCTCAAATTAGATCCCAGTGACAGTAATGACATTACCATGTCTCACCTAATGTGACTCCATCACTACCCAATGAGAATAATTTCAAGGAAGACAAAAAACACACAAACAACCAACCATAAAAACACTTTGAAAAAATGTTTTAGGAAATAAAAGCAGGGGAGAAATAAATAGAAAGAAGACAAGAAAGAGGAGGAAAGAGGAAAAAATGTGCCCCAGAGCACACAGATGCACATGAACCTAAAGGTGATTCATCTCAGGTCATCTGTCAAGAGGAATAATGGTTTATCTAACACCAAATCCTTTGAAACTCTTGCTGGGTACCTAAGGCACTGTGGCAGACACTGCTGCGATTTCCTTTACCTTTTTCCAATCTCCCTTACAGTTAGAAATGATCCTGAAGGTCACATCTTATCATTAGAACATCTTATCATATCATGGCCTAGTCATTAAAAACTTTTTCACAAATTGTCTCCCTCTAACCCTATTTGAAGATTGAATAAAAGACTTTGAGATCATAAAACAAAGCAAAGT